AGAATTTAGGAGGAATCAAGACAGAACAAAGTAAAAGAAAAGTCAGCAAGCTGATTCAAGGCCTAGCCAAGAATCTTGGAGAAGGAGCTCTGTACCAGCCTGGCAGATGCATCGGCCTTTCTTTTACAAGCTGGAAGGCTGGGGCTAAAGCAAACAAAGGAACTTCAACTGATTTGGGTAAACCTGTAATCTAAGGCAAAGGTGAGAAAAATCTAGAGGTCTGCTGAATCATTCGCAAAACCTATCTAATCCAGCATCCTGCTTCCTACATTGGCTATCCATGGAGAAGCCAAAAAGAAGATAATGAAGGCAGTTGTTCTCGACCAACTGGTTTTCAGAAACATGCTGCATCTGATCACAGAAGTGGTATACACCAATCATGATTAGTAGCCATTAATAGCTTTACCCTTCACCAATGTATCTAATCCCTTTTAAAAGCTAAATTAGCAGCCATTGTTACATCCAGACATTGAGACTTAACTATGCATTGTGTGAAGAGTTACTTGCTGAAACACTAACTGTTCAGCTATAATGCAAAAAGAAAAAAATGTAGGGGGTGGGTCAAATGGCACAATGTTTTTTCATTTGTATAGCCAGGAGTCTTCTCTCTGAAAGCAACCGGGTTTCTAGCATTATAAAGCCACTGCACTGTAGTGGTTAGACTGTTCAATAGGGACTTGCAAAGATTCAGGGTCAAATCCCGACTCATTCATTAAGTTCACTGGATGCCTTTGGTCCAGTCACTGACTCTCAGCCTATCTACTTTACAGGGTTGTTGCTGGGAGGATAAAATGATGGGAGAAAGTATGACTATGTTAGCTGCCTTGAGTGCCTTGCTGGAAAACGGTGGGAGCTAATTATAATTAACAAATAATAAATAGTTAGAAAAAGGAAAAAACTCCCAATTTTCTATACAGAATGCAAAATTTTATACATGTTTTTCATATTCCTTTGTTACCGTTCCTTTTTCTTAAACTAAAAAATCCTTAACATTGCAATTGCTTCAGTCCCGTGAGCAGAACAGTAGTAGCATTTCCAGCTTCTACAATATCCTTTTGGAGACATGATGACTAGAACTATGTGTATTCCAACTGTAGTTGCCCCATAAATTTGTACCAATTATGATCTCTTTCCTAATGATCCCTAATATGGAGTTTGCCTTTTTTCATGGCAGCTGCCCACTGGGTTGACAACTTCATTGAGCTGTCCATCACAACCCAGGTCTTTTCATTGCCAGCTAATACTACACTAAAAAAAAACTAGCTTCCCAGCCCAGCCCTTCCCTTCACCCCAGTGTGCACAGTGATGCAGTTGGGTAGCTTTACACTCTACATTTAATGGTGATATTGCAGGAAGGGAGTGCTTTAGCTTGCACTGTGTATTACTTCACTTATTTCAAAATGTGGTCAGCTTTACAGCATTTAGGGGCCTTCCTGGGGCCTTAGTCCTGCTGAGCAGGACACTGCCCAAATGCATCACTGAATGTTTACCACTTTACACTTAGCATTGAACCACATTTGCCATTGCATTGCTCATTCATCCAGTTCAAGGAGATGTTTTTGGAGCTCTTTGCAATTATTGATACCTACACAAATCCAACAAGAACAGTCTTTCTCTCCTTTTCAAGGCCTATTCATGACCCTGCCAGTTTGCACTGGCCACGAAAAAAACCTTGCTCCTCATGGTTAAACTTGATTTGGGACATTTGCATGCAAGTTCAACTGCTGCCATATATAGCTGTCAACCCTTAATAACAAATGCTTTTAGCACATCATCACACACAGTGCACACCTTCAGTGCTTCAGAAGGCTGTACCTGCAATAGCCTGCCAAAAGCTAAATCCTGAGTGAATGCATGAAATCAAGTTTCCAAAGGCTAATACATGGTTTAACTGCATCCTACATTGACAACATAGGACACAGGAAATCCTAACTTTTTATTTTAATGTACTGTAAGCATACAGGGCTCCAATCCAGACTGGGACCACCATACACAGGTAGAGGGGTTAAACTTACCCACCTAGCCACTTTCCTCCCAGCCCCAGATTCACCAACGCACATGGAACTAAAAACCAACCAAACAAAAACTTTCAATAGAGGAACTTGCTTGTGTGGTTTCTACCCAAAGCAAAGGGAAAATGGTTGGTGGGAATGTTTCAATGTCCCTCAACCTGCAGATCTAACTCCAGATCATGGCCCCACAACCCTGCATTAACATAAAGCCAGTGCACAGGCAGGGTTTCCAATAATATAAAAATTTAAATGGGTAGCCAGTAACAGGAATTAGTGTTTAAAAAGATCCTGAAATATCTATGCTTTCAAACAAAAAGTGATGTCTGATTCACAGGGAAAAGGAACACTGAGGAAGGATTGCAAAATACGCATTTCCCAAGCCATTGTGCTGCTTCCTCCATGACTCAGAAGACATAATGCTATGCAGAGAGAGAGAGAGAGAGAGAGAGAGAGAGAGAGAGAGAGAGAGAGACCGCGCGCGCGCGCAAGCCCAGAAATGATGGTAGGTTTGGTTGAACACCAGACTGTCCACTAGATTCCACTGACTTTTGATTATCTTTTCTTGACTTTTCATAGGGCACTAAACAGGCTGGCAAAGACCTGCTGTTATTCCACTCTGGATTTGGGACTACTCAGGGCAAACAGAGAGCCTATCAACAGTTTTCCCACAACACAGTAGCACACTGTATCAACTAACCACTCACCTTGGCAGGGCTGTAATGCTGAATCATGACACCTAGGCTGCCAAGTAAGAAGAAAGCAGCAGAAATGAACTGGACCTCATCCCATACATTAACTGAAAAACCATCAGCCTGTGCCTGACAGAGGTTAATGAGGCCATAGAGACACAAGGCCAACAGTCAAGACTTTGCATGGCTTATTGGCAACAGCTATCAAACCACAAGCTCTTCTCCAGCACAAAAGAAAACTTCAATCAACTCTACAGCATGGAGGAGATGTCAAGGTCATTATTTTTTCTGATCAATTGTGTTAGGTCCAAGGAAAATTCCAGAATATCAGGCTTTGGCTGCAAAGGCTTCAGATCTTTCAATGACTGCTTCAGAATTTGCTTTCCCTTTTCTTCATTGGTCTGGATGGGTGAATTTCAGCTGTGGATCCCATCCCATGAATCACGCAGGACCTTCCTTCTCCATTTCAGGCTGCCAACAAGGCAGGCTTTCTGCTAATTGCCCATTCCTACTGGAGAAGATATCAATGATCCACAAACTGATTTCAGAATCCGTTGGACTGTTATGAGAAGATTAAGATTTTCAGAAGCTACTGGAATTTGAGCTCTTCTGGACAATGATTTGTTGAGGGGTTGTGGGTTGTTTTCACTATTTTCATTTGCTACTGCTGGATTTTATACCACAAACCAGGGTCAGCATGACTTCTTTGGCCTCAATCACATTTTTCCTATGCCTGATAAGAAGTAAAGAGTGCCCCTGTGCATGCTACTACAAAGTCCTCCTGTATTACTGCCATTTACATTATGTACAATTCATATAGCCTCCTTTACTACTGCCCTTCTATTTTCTTCTACTTTGAGAAAGGGAATGGGTTGTCCAGTTAATTTCCCCGTTATCTGCAGAAGCATCCAGTACCTGTTTAAATCCAAACTTGAGTTCTGTATTTTGTTTCTTTTTTATGGTATTGATTAGTGGGGGAATGCCTTCATTTTAACCTTCCAATTGCTTAAGTACCCTTATTAAAGATTATATAATTATTAAAGATGCTGTGCCTTCTCAGGGAAAAAATATTTAATGCTTCTTTCCATTAAACATCCCTATTTTAAATAAGCAAATGGCAGCTATAGCAGGCAGACATTCTTGAGGATCATAGCAGACAAGGAAAGGCTGTTTAACCCTTTCCTTCCATGCTGTGGAAGAAAATCACTCCTCTGAAGCTTCTATTTACATTAGGAGGAAGAGTTCCTATTACCAGCAGGAACGTTCCTCCCAATACAAATAACAGCTTTAAAAGAGCAATTCTTTTCAGGCTCACAGCAAAAAAAGAACAGTTGAATTCCTTCCTCTTCTTGATACTTAACTATGGCAATTATCATACATGTAGCAGCTGTTGTTTGCATTTTATAATATGCACATTAAATATAAAAATACATTTATAAATAATGAATAGTTCCAATTTAACTTGATGTCAAAGCCCTTCAATTCCCTACACTTGCCCTCCATCCCACAACTGCAGATTATCCGTCTGGTTGTTCCTCGATTACTTAAAGATGTTATTGTCCCACCTTGATGGAGCAATTGATGCCAGAAGGTAACATCTAAGCCCAGCATTTCTGCTTGATAGTCAGGAACAAAAGAATCCCACAAGATCAGATCAAAGGTCCATCTAGTCCAGAATTCTGTTTGGATGTTTTCTTTGCATTTTAATTGTTTTTAAGGTTGTTCACCGCAGCCTTTCAACTGTCCCCCTGTTCAAAAAGTTTGAGGATCCCTGGGTTAGCTGGGCCTGCTGCAAAAGGTATTATACAAGCTAGCATAATTCAGTCTTCTTCAAGAAGCTCCCAGACCAGAAGTAATGCTAGTTCAGAAATGAAGAGCATTAGCAGAGATATGTCAGTATCTGTCCTAACATGGCCATACTCTTTTTAATCACATTATTCAGTAACAACCGAATAACTGCATTTGCTTGTTATTGCTTTGCTATTTCTCCTTTCTTCAGGGAGATGAATCCAGATAACTTTCCATACTTTACATGTGCCCATGTTCCAGTTTTCAATTACTGCCTTCAACCCAACAATATAATTGCTCATCCACTCAATCCATTTGCATTTCCACCTCTGTAGTAGCTGAAATGCTAGCTCTGTGTATCATCTGAAGCTATGAGAAACTTCCTTGAAAGCAGCAGCTAAAACCTATTTCTCCTCCACCTATTATACTGCTGAACTGGTAGCTGGGCTTGGTTCTTCAGAAAACCACCTTGAGTAGGGAAGAATCTCTCACCCTACAAAGTTTCCTTTACCTGCGATTTGACATGGTCGTACTCTTCTGTCCCACGTGGAACACTCCTGAGAGAAGTGAGGTAGTCAAAAGTAATTACCGCTGTCTACAAAACAAGACAGAAACAAAAGTATAAACAATGTATACTCCTGCCTAATGATTCCTTGACCTAGAAGTACAACCCTTTGATTTTTTGCTCAGTTGCTCCACTATTGCTATTTTTACCTGTCTAAAAATTCATCAAGAATTCAGCAAGTTATCAGGACACCCAAGTCCACATGCTCACCTTTCTGCTGAAGCCTTTAAGCAAGAGATCTTTTAGTACCAGCTTCAAAAATATGCTTGAGCTTAAAATGAATAAGTGAAATCTAATAGGAATGGGGGGGAAAAAACCTTTCAGATGATGACCACAGGTTTCCTGAGAAGTGGATTACAGAGAAGGGCATTTGCCTTGCAGAGTAAAAGAATTAGATACATGAAAAACAAAGGGATTTATACAGGATCACTTTGAAGGATTTTTTATCAAAGAAAAGACAAAGAACTCTGGAGAAACCATTGCCCAACCTAGCCTGTCTCATGACTGAAACAGAGGAATGTGAGAATGAAGTTTCAAGAAAAAGCTGCCCAGAGCTGACTTTTACCTACTGGAGACCTTTGTTTTGCTAAGTATTTCATGAGCAGAGCCATCTGGAACCAGGGGTCAGCCTAGATGGCCCAGGAGGCCCCTTCTGACTCACTCAGTTTCTATGTTTTACCCACTTTTCACAACTGCATCACAATCTGCTATGATGACATATATGTAATTCCTTGGTATGGATGTAGTTTGGATAGTAAGACAAATGCACATGCTAGGTCCAAAGAGTGTAGAAGTTGGGGAATTTTCTAGATTTGTTTCCTCCTCAGTGGATCACTTCACTGCTTTGCCCCCATGACATCATACAATCATCGAATTAGAGGTTGTTTTCTGCTTTATTTCCTGGCACAGTTTCTGGATCTTTCGCACTTCCATGGCAAGCAAAAAAGAAACAGGCAGTGTTTTTGTACAGTGATGGGAAAAACTACACCTGCTAAATTTCTGCCAGTTGTTAAAGGCATGCAATTTCTGGCAAAAAACAAAGGGAACCTTTAAATTTGAGAAAAGCCTGATTATGATTTTTCATTTTTCATGAAATGTTGCAGCACTATAAACTACAAATATGGATTCTTAGTTAACCATGCCCAGTATAACTTAGGAAGAATCAAATCAGATAGATATATCTATTTTATTTATTTATTAAAACATTTCTATGCCACCCCATTCGCCGAAGCCTCGGGGCGGCTCACAACATTAAGTTAAAATACAAACATTAAGTATATTAAAAGTACATATATTACTTTTTAGCAAACAGACCCTATGGAGTACAACTCCTTTTAAGGTCAATTCAGGCTAATCCCAGGCCATAAAATCATTATGCCTTTTGTCACCCAAGCTGCAAGACTAAAACTTACTGTGGCAACAGCACGACCTACTCGAACAATTCCAAAATCATTGGGATCCAGGTTCTTCTTGCCATATAAATAGGAACCAGTTGCTGCCATGGCTGCTACACTGGCAAATGATGTGAGTTTTAATGCTCTTCTGGCCATGGTGGCAAATGCTGTAGAGAAATAAAGGAGTCATTACTGGGAGAAGAAAAGGGTGGATATTCTAAAGCAAAATGGCAGAAAGTTCCAACTTTGGTGATTGATCTGAAGAATTTCAAGCAGGAGTTGTCAATGTACAGCACGGTGAATCCTTGTTGCTTTCCTGGACCACAGGAGGAAATACAGGCTTGGCTATGACACAGAATCAAGGCTGCCCAATAAACTTGTCTGTTCCCAGCTAAGTAGTCTGGGTAAGTAGTCTGTCTGTTCCCAGCTAAGTAGTCTAAGTAATGCATATGTACTTGGGTGTTCAGTCCCATGCTGCTCACTGGGACGTATTCCCAGGTAACAAAGTGTAAGAATGAAACCTAAAAAGCAGAAAACCCAGGAACAGATTGGCAGCTATGTACTGTTATGTGCACTAGAATGGCATTTTATCAATTTGGCAATAAACGACTTGCCAGATCTGTTTCCAAACTTGGGTTTGCTGTGAAATCAGAAAGGCTACTGGGAAGAGGCAATAGAGAGAATTATACAGAGAGAGTCATTGTGGTGTAGTGGTTAAAAGCATGAGAATGAAACTCAGGAGGTCTGGGTTCTAGTCCCCACTCAGTCATGGAGCCAAGTGCGTGACTTTGGGCCAGTCACAGATTTTCACCCCAACCTAATTCACAGAATTGTTGTTGTGTGGATAAGACTGAGAGCAAGATAAGGAGAATTATGTAAGCCACCTTGAATTATTTTAAAAAGGAAGAGAAATGTGGGAAATAAATCTAATAAAGCAAATAAATAATCAAACAGACCCTTATAAATAGTCCCAGTCCATCTTCTCCTCCACCTCCTAGTTCAGGAACATGACTTGCATTCTTCACATTCCACATGAGTATTGCAAGCAATAAACAAGTTGTGACCCCTTGTTTTCCTTGCAATGTCTAGTTCAGCTCAGTGCTGCGATCCATAGGAACACAGGAAACTGCCTTATACTATGTCAGAACATGGTTCCGTCTAGCCCATTGTTGTCAACACGGAGTGGTAGCAGCTGTTCAAGGTCTGGGGCAGAAATTTTGGTGTTATGGCCTCTCCCTATGGCTCCCATTGCACCAGAGAAGAAACTGTATACTCTCTTGTATAAAGAAGAGACCCTATAAAGACACTGGAGATGCCTGTAAATCTCTGCCTGTAAATTTTTTCTACCATTTTTCTTTTGAACTTTTTGTTTAATCTTCTGAGTCCTAGATCTTCCGGACAAGCAATTTCTTTTAAAGAAATCATCACATTCTTATCTCTTCTTTCCCATGTTCTTCCTTTTTAATTATTTTTAAGAACTGTTTAAAAAGAATTCCATCTGCCATATTTTATTCTCACTCCAAGCCATGTTCTGCGGTTTGTGTCATCTCCAGTGATTGCAGCATCTAGCGTGGGATGTCAATTTCAAGCAGGGGGACCAGAGTGGCAGCTGAGTTTGTAAGAAATTCAGACACCTGTTCTTTGTACAAATTCCTCATGTCATAAAAAGGAAACTATTAAAATGTAAGGTAAAAAGAAGTGTTTGAATGAATTGCTTGGGAAAATTTCCATAAGGCATCAGCATGTATACAAGCTGTAACAACATCCCTGGGAGGAAATTTTAGTGCCCTGCCAGCTCCACAATTCGCTTCCCATGCTCTGATTTTCAACAACAAACCATGGACCCCTAAGTAACTCAGTGGTCTAGGTTTGCACATCACATTCAACAACCCACAAACAAGTTGACTGTAAGTTGTTGATTAAAAGTGGGAGTGGTGAATGACTGGGTTAGTACACTCACTCTCTCCCACTCATGCATGACAGTACATGTGTTGTTTTAAACCATGGGCTGGCATTACATGCAAACCAAATCAACAGCTTTATATCACAAAAGAAGGTTTAGATCAGATCACCAGAGTGAGTGTTGGAAGTTGGACTGCCCCCCTTTCTCCTTCCAAGCAGATCAAGACTACTAATTATAATCTTCATTATGTTAAAGCAAGCCAGCCAGGTTAACTTTGAAATAGAAAAAGGACTATTGTAGAAGCTGTTAGTAAAAGCCACCGAATTAGAGAGAAAGTACAGCTAATGCCAAAGAATTGATTCCATATGGAGCTTCCTCCTTCCTTCTCAACCAACCAGAGTTAGCTTCATCCTCAGGGAGGTTCCCACTGTTTGTGGGACAGATGGCAGGAAAGCTGGATGCTACTCAATTGACCTGCTCTCTTGAGCTGGCATCAGGTGATAAAACTGATTGTGTTCTATCCTTCATCCTCTGACCTAGTCTCTTCAACCCTGTCTTCCACGGGACCAAAGGTGGTCTGATTCTGATCAGCGGCTGGGCTTATCTTGGGGTTTGCTGGCCTTGGTATTTCAGCCAAGAATTCTGACCATACCTCTTCTTCCATTTCAGATTCAGCCTCTGAGGTAATGATCTTGTAATGGTGTCCTTACATCAAGCACATTTCATTCCAAAAATCTGTGGGTCTGTTACTAGCTTCTATACATGGAAATAACTTTCTACCTGCCTGGATGACTTAAAACCTGGAATCTTTCCAGCTCTGGTTGCCACAGTCTTATACACAGACTACACATATATAGTCTTGGCAGCAATGAAGTTCTGTAAATTCTACAAAGATATTTCAGTCATCGTCATGATGATACAACCTGCCTGCTATTTAAACTATGTAATTGTAGAGGACTGCAAAGATAAAAGTAAGAATGAAGCCATTATTATACCTGGGTTTCCATTATACAATACCCCATTATGAATACAAACCATATCATGCAAATAACTGCCATGTCATTCAAACCCAGACCATTACTCACAGTGTAGCTTGTTTGTGGGCTACAAGACACCTTGACAATCCATGGGATATTTTAGGGGTTGTTGTATCCATGATGGATTGTGAACCTGGGCAAGCAAATAGGTTTATTTTTTATTTCTCTCTCTTTGGACAGCTGTCAAAAGATGAGCTGTCAAAGGAAAAAAACTGAAAGAAGTTTCTGCTCGATTTTGGTAGATCACCCCTTTCATGACAAAATTTTCCACTTTCTTTGGCTGGATCTGTCTCTCCTTAGTGCTCTCACACCTTCCCAATACTTTATCTGCTTGGGAAATTGGAAACTGTGAGTCACCCCATTTATAGGATCATGAAGCTTTAACATTGGTCAAACTCAGACTTCCTTTTAAAACAGAATTTTTAACAGGGTAATTAGGGTTTTTAATGGTGGCAGAAGCATATACATATGTATATGATCCTGTCAAAAATCCTATTTATAAACCATTTTTAAAAGAAGCCTGAGTTTTGACAGTTCCTGTAAGTGGGCTTGCTTGCACTTCTCCACCTTCCTGAGCATCCAGAGTGGGAAGCCCACAAGCAGAACATGAGGGAAATAGCAACCTCCCACTCATGTTCCCAGCATTTGGTATTATGAGGTATACTATTGATTAATGTATTCTTTAAGAATATCCTCTAATAGTGCTTTTCTGGGGAGAAGAAAAGATCAGCTTTTTAAATCAGTGAAAAAAGTATGGGCACTGGTAACACACACTTTTCATATACATGCTTTTAACCAGCATGTACCCTACTCTTCCAGAATATCCAAGAAATAAGAGAGAAAATCAAACTTAAATTAGGAATGCTAAAAGGCAAGCAAGAGAACGTACTATGTATCCAGGAGAAAATAAAGAGAAGGTAGAAGGAACATACAGAAGAACAATGCAGAGGACATGAAATGGTGACAGACTTCTTCAAAGAGGAATCCTGTAAGAAGAGCCTTCAATATTCAAAAGCAAAGTGAAAGCTGCTCTGAAAGCACTTGCAAAGAAAAAAGCAAGAACAATAGATAGAACTACTCCAAGTTTCAAAAAATGAATCAGTCCAAATCCTAACAAAACTATGTCCACAAATATGGAAAACAAAACAATAGCCTGCAGACTGGGAACATTCAATATAAATTAGAATTCCCATGGAAGGAGATAAAAAAGTGCAGCAACCATTGAACCATTGCAATAATCTCCCACACAAGCAAAGTGATGCGCAAAGTGTTGCCACAAAGAATACTTCCCTATATGGAGTGAAAAATGCCAGATGTCCATGCTGCAGTCCAAAAAGGAAGAGGCACTAGAGATCATATTGTAATTATATGTTGGCTTGCTGGCTACTGGAATTCACCAAAGAATTTGAGAAAAAGATCAGTCTGTGCTTTATGGACTACAGCAAAGCCTTTGACTGTGCAGATCACAAGAAGCTATGGATGGTCCTGAAAGAAATGGATGTTCCTCAGCACTTGATTGTCCTGATGGTGTAACTCAAGGGTCCTCAAACTTTTTCAACAGGGGGCCAGTTGAAAGGTGCCAGCGGGGTGCGCAGACCAGCGTGGGAGCGGGAGTGAGGGGGGGGGCGCACGTGCTGAGGCAGGAGGCGGGGCAGGCACAGGTGGGCAGGCGCACGCAGTGAGGCACGGCAGGGGCGAGCATGAACCTCGATGCAGAGGTGGGTGCGTGATGCAGCGGCTTGCTCGCTTGGAGATCGTTTTCTACGAGTGAGTCCAAAACGATCTACTTGTGAACAAGCTGCCATCTCCCTGTGCAGGGGGTGAGGCGGGCAGCAGTGTGCGTGTGAGGCCTGCGTGCGCACGCGCTGTGCATTGAAAACCTCTGAGGCGGGCTGGATGAATGGCTATGGCGGACCAGATCCGGCCCCCGGGCCATAGTTTAAGGACCCATGGTGTAACTTGTATCACAGACAAGAAGCTACAGTTACGACAGAATACAGGGAAATATAATGGTTTCTAATAGGCAAAGGATGCATTTTATCTCCCTATCTGTTCAATCTGTATACAGAACATATTCTAAGAGAAGCTGGATTAGAATCAGAGGAAGGAATGAAAATTGACAGAAGAAACATCGCTAATTTAAGATATACAGGTTATACCTTACTACATGCAGCAATGACTTGAAACAACTGATGAAAGAAGAAAGAACAAAAGCAAGACTGCAACTGAGTATTAAAAAAACAAAAAATCATGTCTACAGAATAATTACACGAAGAGATCAAAATTGTGAAAGCTTTCATATACCTCAGCTCAGTCTTCCATTCAAAGGGAGACTGCAGTCAAGCAATGTGAAGAAGACTGAGACTTGGAAGGGCAGCAACAAAGGAACTAGGGAAAAAAGCATCAAGGAAGGACATTTTACTGGAGAACAAGGTCAAAATCATCCACAATTCTTTTCTTCCAATTACAATGTATGGTTGTGAAAGCTGAACATGAAGAAAGCTGATAGGGAGAAAATTGATACATTCAAAACCAGGTGCTGGAGGAGAGTTTTGTGAATACCCTGGATGAACAGAAAGACAAACCAGTGGATCCTAGACCAAATCAAGTCAGTTTTCCTAGAAGTAAAAATGACAAAATAGAGGCCATTGTGCTTCAGACACCAAATATATGAGAAGGTTTGAATCCATAAGGGAAGCTGCAGGCTTGAACTTAGAAATACTGAAAGCAGCTGTCTTGTGCAGGACATTTTGGAGAGCCTTCATTTATTGGGTTGCCGTAAGTTGGATATAACAACAAACCTACTGAAAAGACATCAGCGGATATTAAAAAGAAAACTTTGTGGGTCATTCCACCCAAAGCAGAGGTGGCCAAATTGTGGTGGACAGTCTTCAGATGTATTGATCTTTAATTCTCATCAGTTAGAGCCAGCATAGCCAATATTGGCAGATCATGTGAGTTGCAGGCCCCATTCTATTAATTATGGGGCAACAATTCACCAATGAAAATGCATTCATCAAGGAGACATAGCCAATCTCAGTTCCCAGTATGTTACTGGATGAAACATGTGTCTGCTGCAAACATTCACATTTTTAGATGCACACTTAAATCACCCAAAACCTACACAGCAACAGGAAACTCAAGTATGTGGCAGCTGCATTATTATGGATGATCACCTTCTGCAGCAGTGGGGAAAGCAGCCCAATTTTTTCATGAACCACCAAAATGCTTTTTGACAAAATTAATTTCCTATATGAAAAAATTAAATTGAAAATGATTTTTTTCTGGGACAAAAATTGTCTCCTGTTATTTCAGTTTAGCCTCCAAAAAAAGGCAAGTGTGTTCTAATTGAAGTGTTCTGTTGAAGTCAAGTTTAGGCCATGAATGCTTGTACTGTATAATGTAGGCAACTTGTGGCTCTCCAGATGTTTTGGTTTATAACCTTCCATCAGCCCAAGTCAGCTAAATAATGAGGGATCATGGGAATATAGGAAAAACTGGTGGGAAAAAATGGTAGGGAAAATCTGGAGGCCCACAAGTCATCTGTATAACTGCACTTGGAAGTTTCTGAATGCAACAAGTCATATTCCCAGGCAAGTAGTTACCAGAACGCTGCCTAAGCTGCACATCTGCACCCATTTACTTGGAAGTAAGCCCCACAGAATTGAATGGGGCTTGCTTCTTAAAAGACATGTACAGAATTGAGCTGTAGATCTATTTGTCATTAAGGTGCCACCAACTTTTAAAGTGTTTTGTGTTTTCCAAGACTGGTTTTCCAAAGATCATCACCTACTCCTATCAAAGAAGTTACTGAGTTGGTCTTAATTTTCAATGCAAAACCACTTGGTCAATGAAATATTTAAATAGCTTTTTAATCCAACCATGCAAACATCCACCAAGAAAAAGTATGACAGGAAATGTTAGATGTTCAAACTTCTTTTTGCTTTGGGCATTTCATACATCAAGTATGCTAATATATTACAGTTAGTATCATCTGCCAGGTCTGGATGGCCATTGAAGCTTCCATTTCTCACAAGCGACTGTAAGGAACATAAAAACTAACTTCGGTGAAGCGAAATGTCAGGCTTCGGGTCTTGCTTAGGGGCATACGTGATATTTAAATTTCGGGGATCCATTAATGACCGTGGTCTTGGGTAAAGAAAGGCGGCAGGAGACCGGCACTACGGTAGTAGAAGGACGGGAGGCTCAAGGGGATGCGTTGCAGGACGGGGGCGGGCAGAACATGCTGATCGAGTGCACGGCAGGTCAACGCTGAGCGGCTGTTAATGAATCCGGTCTCGTCTGCACGGCCAGAAGGGATCACGGTGAGTGGGAAAGAGGAGTTCCTGCTCAATTACTTGTGCAACTGGGCGAGGGAGGCGCCGTTCCATGCCGGCTCTTTCGAACGCTCCGCTTTCTTTCCTTTCTCAATTCCACAAGGACTTTGTCCTTCTCCGCCGAAATGATTCCAAATGTGCCTTCTCTTCCCCTCCCTTTCCAACCCCCACCCCCATCCGAGCAGCCACAACTAGCGAAGGCAATGCGCCCTGTGCACTTACCGGCATTCGGGCGCCGCGACAATTTTACTCGGAGAAATCAAAAGGTTTTGCCCTCCCTCCCCGCACGCTCTTCATACGTAGTACCGACTTTCCCTTGAAAGGGATGCTGGGACTTGTAGTTTTTCCGAGATGCCAAGGGCTTATTATCCGTAGGAAACTCGGACTCTAAAGAACTACAATGCCGAAGCCCTGGGCGCTCTCATTGAATAGGGAAGAGAAGCATGGAGGACCGGCATGTTTTGCTGTCAATACTTAACATCTCTGTGTACTTCAGACCTAATAATGTACGTGCGTCAGCAACTAAGCTTGTTCTGTGGGATTTAAGAAATATGCATGCTCCGCATTGTGAACGTTTTTCGAAAGAATACAACAGGCCTATTCTATCTAGCCTAGAAACACGTTTCACAACCTCTTCAAGCTGTAAACATCCTGAAAAGCTTATTGTCAAGCAGTCTTAGCTGAGCATATGATAATACCACATGTGATCTGACCTTTACTTTTCTTCTAAGATTCCCCCATTTAATATTGAGTGAAAAAAATTTGAAAGAATGCTTAAGGTTGGAATCCTAAGCACAGTAAGAAGTGAGCTCCACAATACAGTGGTGGGGCTCATTTTTCAGTAAAATTCAGGATTGTGCTTCTCATTACAGCTTCTACTGTGGAAGTAACATTATAGAAGGGGGAGAGGGAGGGAGAGAGAGAAGGCTATTATATCTATACCACACAATAGCCAAAGCTGTTTAGACAGGTTACAGTAGTTCACAAACCAAACAATGCAATAAACCATAAAATTTTCAAAATGCAAATATTTAAAACCATAAATATTTGGCCTATAAAACACCTGGTGAATCTCTCAAGTGCTTAAATATGCTTGTATCTCAAGGCTGCATCGACCTGATGCTGTAAGGATGACAGTATAAAGTGGGCCACAACTGGGGGGCTGCCACCAAGAAATCATAATGGAAACTTCTTTCAAGAGAAGGGAGGCAATTCTACAATAATTGATACTAGGTTTTGGCTCTCCCTAGTCGCTAATACGTCCTCTTACTATTCGTCTTCCTTCCCTTTCCTTTTGAATCTTAAATAACTTTCACAACACTCTATGAGATTCTAAAGGCTGCCTCTTCATATTCTGCAGATTGCTGACTGACCACAACTCTGCTGTTAACTACTGACTGACTGATAGTATCTATTTCTCTCTGCTCACACACTTCCAAGCTTTGCCCATACACTCTCAGTCACCATCCAATCACCTTACCCACCTATCCTCCTGTTTTACCCAATTGCTCTTCAGAAACTTACCAACATTTAAAGAAACACACTCATAACATCTTAAATCAGGGCAGTCCGACTTTTCATACCTGGAGGGCTACAGGAGGACATGGAACCCTGGGGCTGCACAATGAATTACATTTCCATATTATAAAGTATTTGCAATTTATTTATTTGATGTGCATGATTAAATGAGGGAGAAAACCAATATGAGGTCTCAGAGTTGGCTTGAGAATGCTTCATGGGCCTGTGATCACAGGCAGCTCCTTCTCTGACCTCAGTCCAAGCACAGTGGCTCTGGGGTGGCCCATCGCTTTGTTCCCTGCTTCTACCACCCAGAAATCCTCCCAAGTGACCCCACTGGTCCCTTCTTCCTTCTTAGAATTGGGGTGCTAAACCTCTTGCACTTGAGCTGATGAATTCTCCCCAGCATGTCTTGCCCACTTCCACTTGCAAGTACGGGGCATGCTGGGACAAGCTCTCCTAAGGCTGCCAACCTCAGGAGAACTTCCCGCAATCATCCCTATGCCATTGCTGGGATCCAGACTGAGGGGAGACAGGGGGACTCCAAGCAGCGAGAGAGTTGCAGAACAAGGTGCAAGGGCTACATGCAGCCCACCCCAATTAAAATGATTAGAGGTTGTCATTCATGACTATGGAAAACTACACTTGGGAACCCAGTGTTGGGCTGAGGGAAAAAGCTGCACATCTGGACACTGGGTAGATTTATTTATTTATTTAAAACGTTTCTATACTGTCCGCTACCAAATAGTCTCGGGACAGTCTTACAATAAAACAAAATAAAGCACAGATTAGCTTCCATTACTGAGAGTGGGGCCCTCTTCCTGAAGGCTCTTCCAGACATGCATGTGTGGGGACAATGTCCTTACAAAACTCTATGTAGCCATTTGGTTTGGACAGGGAAAGTTACAACCATGTAATCTGTGCATATTACCCTAACCAAAAAAAGCTTCTAAAAGATGGTTAGACAGGTTAAAAAAGCAGAACCTTTCTTTGACAGCTGTGCTCACAAAAAGGACAAAATGTAGGGTTTTTCCTGCAGTACCTAGAGGTTCAGAGAAGTGTGAAAAAGGTAGAGAACAATGAGAACAGTCAAAGCAATTCTAAGCAACTAAAGAATTGCACTCAAAAGTGGAAATGTACTTCTCACCCATTTACCGGGGTGGGGGGACTCTTGACTGTTTGTCAGTTGACAGCTCACCATTGAGAGCTATCAAATGAGTGCAAAGCAACCTCCATGCAGGTTCAGATAGTTGGTCAGTGTCTATGGATGTTGTCTACTGTAGTCTGACAGTGAACACTTAACAGGATGCTGGCCAGACAAGGCCTCACATTTCACTCTTTCATACTGCACACTGTGAAGTCTGAAAAGGAAAACTACGAATGAAATTGTACAGCCTCTCCAAAAAAAAAAAGCAAAATGAAACAAGTGACAGTTACTGTAAAGTGTCATTTGGACATCTGTCACTGCTGGAGGCACAGGGCTCCAAGAAAAATTAAAGCAAGCAAAAATGGGTTGCAAGCAAAGCAGGGAGAAAAAATGAGTTCTTTGCACAGAACTCTGGAATACTAGCTGGAGAACTAGGTAAAAATGAAAGTGCACCATAGGTGGTTGTCCTGTGAACAGGCCACACTATATAGCTTATATTACAACAATGATTTGTTGTGCCATGTGAACTCACCCAATGGTAGTGAATATAGTAGCACTGTGAGCAAACAGGAACATTCTCTCTAATATCTTGTCCAATGTCAAAGGTAACCTTTGATTGCAGCCTTTAATATGCCAGGTCCACTTTATAGCTGGCTGTCAAATGTCAAGCTGCAATGACAAATTTGGCCCACCAGGGTTCCCAGTAGTGCCCTACTGGATTACCCAAATATGCATACACCCTTCTCCTACAGCCATCACTCTGACCATCAGGAATTCATTTGTTTCCCAGGTTTTCCACAGTCCTGCCCCCCACACCCACAACACACTTTAAAAGGTTGAAATGCCTCCTCTAAAAGGTATAGCTACTGGCAGTAAGAACTTCAGGCTACAATATTCTGTTCCCCTTGGCTCAATTACTTTCCCATATAATATTCCAGCCCTCTTCTATATGCCAGCTTCTATTCAAGATGCTTATCAAGTACCAAAATTCTCAATAAACTGGAATATTTCCAACTTCTCTCCACCACTGCCATTGATAATCAAGGATAAATGGGCTCATTAGGAACAATAGAAGAGTTGATGACAAGGGAAAACATTTGCAGGTGTGAGGGATGAAGCTTCCTGTACAGCTGGCTTCTAACTCAGGCCTCCCTACCACCAGAAAGAAGAATAATGACAAACATCACCATTTTCAGGAAGATCGAGCTGATTTCTTTTCTAAAGCTGCACCAGAATAATTATGATGATGATAAACAGATTCTGAAAACGTTTAAATATATTTTCTAACAGAAAGAATCAAGAAAAAGAACAGAGAATCTTACCGAGCAATAACATTGTCCGTGGAGACAACCAATTCTAGGCCACCAAAAAGCCCATTTTGCACTTTCCTCCCACTTGGTGGGAAGTTTCAGAGGCAGCCTTTTACAGGGTCAGCATCCTAATAAGGAGATAGCAGTGGAGATTACTGTGGATTTTGTAATATTAGTTTATGTGGAAACATACATGTTGAGCAAAGGAAGGTGTAGCCTGACCCAGACAGTAATTATTTGCATCCTCTCCTGCTCCTTGTTGTCAGCCATCTGCAAAACCTCAGGCTTTCTCTTTCGGTGGCTACAGAAGAGCTGCTAAAACTTTCTTTCAAGATCCTGTTCAAGTGGAGTGTGAGGTGTCCAGTCACTAGCAGCCACTGATATTCCTGTACTTTGCATGCTGTTGAACAAGCATCAACATGTGGTCTTGTTTTAAAATCAGATGTTTTATCAAGTAAGAACTAAATACTGGTCTCTGGTGGAATCCCTCTCTAGTACATACAGAGGTGATCTTATCCCGAGGGTGGGTATTCATTGCTAATTTTAGTGTCGCTTATTGTTTCATGAACCATTTGATTGCTTTAGAAGGCAGTTTAGTTATGTCTCAGGGGAAAGTGTTTCATCATCCTCAAAAGAGACCTGGGAGGGTAATTAATGGGGTCTTGGGTACGTGCAGGCAGACCATTGTATTGGAGGACTGGCAAGCCATTCTGGTTTCTCCCTCATCATGGGAGCCTATACTTGCCATCTCTCACACCATTCAGCTCTCAGTCCTCCTGGTCCTGCTCTTAAATGGCAAGTTGATTCAGAATAAAATCTCCCTCAACTATCATTTGATTTTCTGCTGTATGTATAATCAAGATTTTGGAAGGGGAGTAGCTGAGTGTTGTCTTTCCCAGTGGTGCTATCCTAGATATTTGGTTTAGCATCAACATAGACTTGAGAACTGGGGAAGAAGCATCCATGTGACTTATAGGCATATACTCTTTGTCCCACTTTCCAAACTTCCTCAGGTGAGTACCAATATGGAGCGTTTATATTTTATGCTGGCTGAATGGGACCAACGGAAAATTCTGCTGGCATTCCACCCGCCCTGCTCCCCAGCAGTGTCCCTGCCTGAGCAAAAGGGATTGTCTTAGATTTGATGTGGCAGACACATTGAATGATTCTCCTGGGAGACCTCAGTCTTCATGCTACCTGATCTAGGGCAATTCATGTCTGCTATGGCAACCATGGGTTTGCCCCAAGGTGTCATTGGATTAACACATATAGCAAGATAC